AGAACAAAAAACATACTGAAGAAACCGAGACAAAGGCGCCTCAAACGGTAGTAAAGATCGAAAAACATACCGAAGAAATCGATACAAAGGCACCTAAAACTGTAGTAAAACATACCGAAGAAATCGAAACAAAGGCGCCTCAAACTGCAGTAGAGACCAAAAAGCATACAGAGGAAACGATGAAAGAGTCGCCTCACACCGGAGTAGAGGCCGGAGAACGTCTAGAAGACGCCGAATCCGAATCAAAGGCACCTCAAAGTGGAGTAGAAACTGAAAAATCTGGAAGTCCAACTGTAAAGATATCAACCATCGCTGTTCCTACAAATTCTGAGACCATTCCTGAGGTTTACATAACCGTTTCTTTACCATCTGATGTTACGCCAACACCTGAAGCAGTGGTATTAGTTGACGCTACACCAACAGCAGCAGACGAGAGTAGAACATCAGAGAAGAAGAAAGAAGATATCGGCAATGTCATGAAGACCGAGACGGAGATACCAAAAGAAATTGAAGCGAAGCCGATTTCAACTCCGACGACTCCAACTGAAACAGTTACTGAACCAGAAAAGAGAAGTGAGGAAGCAAAGGTAAGTGCTGAAGAAAAAATAAAAAGTTGATGGGAATTAGCGAGGTTATTTAAGGTGGAAGTATAGGAAGTAAAAGAAAAAATCTGCATTGCTGTTAGTTGTTTAATTTATTGTGTGGGAGAAACTTGGGCCAATGAAGAAGTGGGATTACAGATTATTCTGTGGTTCTAAGGCAACTTCTTGAGAGGGTTTGGTTTCTATTGTTTTGTTGTATATCATCATTTGTTGGGGTTTTCCATTGAGTTGCACATTCTCTTTCCTTTCCTTGCTTTGGATGTAGCCCATATATGAGTTTGTCAGATTAATATATATAAAAACATTAGAATATATCCTCTTTCATTAAGGTGGAGATTTACGACATTTTTTTGAATGATATATATTTTATCTAGTTGAGTTATGTTCATGTCGATTTTTAACTCATCGTTTCAATAATAAGGGTAGAATAGTCAATTTATTTTATTATATTTTAGAAATGGTTTTAAGCACCCTGTGATCTTTTATATTGGCTTGTCTCCGGGTTTTGGGTTGACATAAGTAAAAATATCAATGTCTCAATGAAAATATAGATAAAATACCTATGGATATAAATATTTCTGAAAATTTTATTAAAAAAATGTTTAGAAAAAATATATAACTTAACAAATAAGCACTTTTCACCTTTTTTTCATTTTTTTTAAATAAGTGAAAAATCCTCATTAATAGTATTATGTGTACATTTTATATATATACACATGTATGTATGCATGTGTATATATATATATATATGTAGGTATGTATATTAAATTTTGTCAATGATTTTGCAATATAAAGCAAATATCGATTCACCCATATATTGTTGGATGAGTAGACGTGTGTTGGAGAGTTGGAAAATTGGCCGTGTAGGCTCAGCTCCTCCCACAAGGAAATAGCCCGCTTCGAGTTAACAAGTCGGAAAAGGAGCCTTGGGCTCCTGTGCAAACCTTGGAGCCGAGCTGTTCTACATGACAAATCTTGCCATTACTACGATCAAACAGTGAATGATAGGTCACATGCTGGCAAAATAGTAGAAGAGACTGAAGGGATTAGTAACTACCCATTCTACCCCTATAAATATACCTTCACTCCGTTCTATCAAGTATGAAAAATATGTCTGAGGCTGACCTGCCCAGCTCGTACCTAAAACTAACTTGAGAGTTTGAGTGCTCTACCTGTTTTTGTAGGTCTCCAGCCTTGAGCTCACTCGACCACAGCTCGCTTGTTCCCGTTCATGTCGCTTTACGAAACTTGTGCAGATTTCGGCATCAACAGTTGGCGATGTCTATGGGAAACACTTTGGTCAAACAACCCTCTTTTTGAAGCCATGGCATAAGATTCCCAAGGTTCAAGTAATAGTAACCATGAGGACCAAGATCGGTCCCCAAATGATCCTAGAGATTCGAAGGCTGCTCAGCTAAACGCGAGGAAACCGCCAGTCGCTAGGAAGCCCAGGACCAGGGTAGATTCATAGAAGACGCGATTGCAGATCACCTACAACCAGGTGACCGACCTCCAGGCCGAGGTTGCTACCATTAGAGCGCAAAATGGAAGCAATGGCGGAGGCATTACACATCGTCGGGGTCCCGCTCCCCAAACTACCTAAGCATGAGATCCAGCGTGACCTCAGGAAGGGGGAAAGGCAAAGAAAGCGATTAGGTGCCCGCAAAGAAAGCGATTAGGTGCCGGCAAAGTTCGCAAATCCCCATCCATCCAAGTTGACCTTTTGGAGGAACAACTAGCCCCATTAAAACAAGGACCTTCGCTCCGTCCTCTCAACTAGGTCTCCATAGAGATGCGAGGGCCTCAGAAAACACTTGGATCGCAATCTGGCTAAGAATAAAGAGCAGCCAGCCCGATCAGAATCGGTAAATAACGTGGAGTTGCAGCTTGAGCAATTCAAGAAATAACTGAAGGGGGAAATCAAGAACGACCTGAAAAAGGCCCAAGGTCAGCCCGTGTTAGACGATGACGAGCAAGAAGAGCCACCCTTCACGTAGGCGATCTTGACTACCCCAATCTCATCTTAAGGCAAATTTCCCAACTTTTACAAGTATGACAGGTCTACTGACCCTATGGACCACGTGGAAATGTACGAGTCTTTGATGGATTTCCACACATAACCCCACGCAATGAAGTGCAGGGCATTTTCCATCACGCTGCAGGGCTCGACTAGAAAGCCAGGATGTGGTACCGGCAGCTCCTGCCCCACTCCATATCGTCCTAGAAGCAGCTCCGCAAAGCCTTCACTGCTCAGTTTGCTGCTCAGCAGAAGACACAACACTCATCAAGATATCTTCTCACCATCCGGCAAGGGAAAAACGAGAGCTTTAGGGACTACGTGAGGAGGTTCCTACAGTAGATCGCAGTTTCGTGCAGCGAAGAATTCGCATGCTTGGCATTCGATTCAGGTGTCAAACACGAAAAACTTAAGTGGATGCTAGCCATGACGCATGCTTGGCATTCGATTCAGGTGTCAAACACGAAAAACTTAAGTGGATGCTAGCCATGAAGCCCGAGCTCACCATCAAAGCTAGCATTGAATGAAGCAAGAAGTTCATGCAGGTGAGCAAGCCCGTACAGTCGCAAGAAGAGAAGCCACCCCGAAGCAGCCCCCCAAGGGATAGGCAGGTGTTGCGTCCACACAACTGTGCTGACAATGCGTGCAAGTATACACGAAATCATCGGTTATCGAAGCTGTCGACAAGAGAAGCTCTAACACAGAAGGCGAAAATGACGGGTTAACAGATATGGAAACAGCAGGGGAGATTCAACATGCTTTCACAGATTATCAACCTACTTTCTAGCTTGACTAACATATATTAATGCCCAGCTTGACTCGATTCCCTTTCGAGACACCCCAAACATGACTAAATACAACTTCCGTTGCTAAATACCAGGAAATAAAAGCAAGCTATAGGCAAGACTAGGGGACCCCATTCCTGAGTATCCCTACAGCTGTAGAAAAGCGCTAATCTCAAGTCAGCACCCATAAGCCATTCCGGGTCAATACAGAAACTAGCGAACACGATAGAGTGGTCAATAATGTCACGCAAGATTGAAGAAATATAAAACAGCTCTACTTAAAAATAGATGTCGTAGCTGGAAGTTCAATATCAAACCAGTTACAGCATGTGAGTCTCCCCCAAAATGGGGTTTAGCTCATAATGGGTAAGGAAAATAAAATGGAAGAAAAGAGATACAACCTATTTCAGGACCGCAACAAAAGAAGTAGAGAAGAAGAAGCTGTCAGCTCATTGAAGCAGGTGGGCCTCCTCATTTTCCGGTTAGTTGTTGCCTCCCAAAACGGAGATATTCCCTCTCTTGTCTTTTCAGCTCGTAACTTTTTTTCCCTTGGGATTAGTGTGACTGTCGGCTAGGGCAAAACATCCCTTAAATACCGAATTCTATTTTAGGGCACCCAACTGAAGTTTGTACGGACATGGGTAGATCCCGTGTTTTGACTTTAACTGTGTAGTAACTCCATGCTCCAGCTTCGCTTTGCTCTTGCTTTCACATGCTCTGTCTTGAAAATGCCTGGACCGTTCTTCTCTAGTTCAACACTTGCTTCCTACTTTGGATCTTCCTTACAAACCTATGCAAATGAACCAAAAATACGAGAGTTTATGCTGTTTTTGTCCAAAGCTGTTAAGAATAAGAGTATTTAGCTAGGATTTCACATTTTAACACCATTTGAGCTATTTATGACTTAAAACCGACACACTATGACATTTTAATACCTATTTTCACATAAATAATCACCAGAATAACTCTCTTTTGGAGAGTTATCAGCAGGGCTGAGACAAGGCGAGAAGCACGTTGTCCAGATCGCAACATAGCGACAGTCATCGTTCGAGCTAAAGGACCGACCTGAAAGTTTCAAACGATTCACTCTACTGAATGTCCCTGTGGTTGAAATCCTTACCAACATACAAGATTCCAAACTCGAACTCCGCACTGAGCCAAGTTCGATGCACTGAGATCTCGATAAGTGCAACAAGTTCAAATAATACCACTTCCACAAGGACCACGGGAATGACACCTCCGTCTGTTATGACTTGAAAATGAAGATCGAATCCTTCATTAAGAAGGGCTGCTTCAAAAAGCACGTTGAGCGAGTCCCCGGAACTAGTGGCGAGGTTGGGAGCTCAAAGAACGAGAAAGTGGAAAGGGAGCGATCTGGATCTCCTCCCAAGCACACAGATCGGCCCGTATTGATCAAAATAATCTTCGGAGGACCAAACGGGGGCCAAACAGGACCAAGCGGAAGGCGCCGATCCATGAAGCCCGCTATGAAGTGTGTGCCATAACCTGCAGGTCATCCCACACCAGATCACGTTCTTAGATAAGAACCTCGAGGGCATCCATGCCCTTTGCAATGATGCTCTGGTCATCGTGTCTCATATCGACCATGTTAAAGTTTGGCGAGTGTAGGTTGATGGAGGAGCCTCAACAAATATTTTATCATTCTTTACTTATGCAGCTTTGAGTTGGGAGCGAGGCTAGCTAAAGTATTGTTGGCTTTTGTGCTCTGAGCTCGTGAGTTTGTAATTAATAAACAATTTATTTATTCAATAAATAATTATTTTATTATTTCTTTGCTTTACTCATATTCTAATAAATTAAAATCCAAGGTTATTTAACGTAACTGGAACAATATATATTTGATATATAATATATATTCGATATATAAGTGGATAATGTTCTAGTAATAACCTAAATGGTCTATAGTACATAGATAAGGTGATGAGACGTTAACTTCGCAGTGAATATAGAGATCTTGTTCTTGAATTTAAGGGAGAAAAACAACACATTGAAAGAATAAAATACAAGGGAAAAAGAAACTTACTTTTGAAGACCTTAAAAAATCTCCAGTACTTCCATTCACTACCACTGATCTTCTCGGTTATCCTCTGGGAACGAAGAACTTGCTTGTGGGGGCAACTGTTGGGTGTGTTGCCCTAAACTCGTAGTTTGTATTTTGTAAAAACAAATGTCTATTTAATAAAGTTTTATTCAATAAATTTGTTGTTGAATCATAGCTTTGCATTGTCAAAAATCCAATAAACTAAACGTCCAAGGTTATTTTTGATATAATCGGGACAGTATATATACTTAGTATATAGTTTATATTGTTGGGTGTGTTGCCCTAAACTCGTAGTTTGTATTTTGTAAAAGCAAATGTCTATTTAATAAAGTTTTATTCGATAAATTTGTTGTTGAATCATAGCTTTGCATTGTCCAAAATCCAATAAACTAAACATCCAAGGTTATTTATGATGTAATCGGGACAGCATATATACTGGGTATATAGT